AATCGTTTTTCATCTAACCGGATTTTATCCTCAATTGGTATTTCGAATAAGTCGTTTGTTGGTAATTCGCAACAGTTTGGATTAAACCATTTTATTTTACAAGTAGTTAGCATCTAGTGGTTTTCAATTGAGACGTGGAATATTAATTAAATTTAAGCGATTTGTAATTAAGCTACGAATTTAATTCGAATTCTCATGATCTATTTGTACTATAATAATTGAAGATTATTGATCACAATAGGTGATTGTTCAATTTTTTAACGTATACGAGCAAGCAAGGTCGTTTAAAAAAGCAAAAGAGGAATATGATAATGAAGCGATAAACACGTTCTATACAAATATTCAAAGTAAACGTGTTTTTCTCCTTATTCTCCTCGAATATAAATTAACGATGAAATATTGGCATTAACAATTAGCATCCTCGGGTAAATTCGAATTTTCTCGATTCTTCTTAAAACATTTGATTGAAACATCGGTGCGTTTCCTGGGGCGAGGAAAAGAACGTTTCATTTCATCGCGAGTGAAACGGAACCGGGAAAACGAAGAAAAAATTCTGGCGTGAGTCACTCGAACTAGTCGTGTGACGATCGCTCTGTTATTTCCTTTAACGCCTTCGCCAGTCGTTCCAGACTGGCAGAGAGAAAAGAAGAACGCTCGTGGCCGTTTTCTTATTCGTCATTGTACACCGGGAACCGGATATTAAAATGGAAAAAATAATGTGAAAAAAAAAGAAAAAAGAATCGAATGTTGCGTAACCAAGGATATATCTCGGGTATATTAGAACGTACATATATATGTATCTGTTATTTCAGCCTTTATCTCTTTCGAGATGATACGAGAGTAGATAGGTGATAGATCGTGTTGTTACGTCAGTTGGTAGCTAGTTTTAGCTTGTCTAAACACAAAGGTTTCTGCCTTTGAGTTAGAAGTAGCAGGCTACGTTGAAATAAACTTGGAGGAATTGACGCCATATGCATGGTATCGGAGAATATGGAGTTATGAGGAAATTTATTTTTGGCTTAAGGAGAAAAGAAGGCGGCTACGCTAAAGGATATTTAGAACGAATCCTTGTAAATACCCTTTGACATCATTTTAAAAATTTCGAAGGCTTTTGCAAATCTAAAATCGTATTGTAAGAGTGCAACACGTTAGAAATTTCTTGACCGCAAGGAAAATAATATATCTAACGATAAACGAAGCATTGTAAAACTTGATTTATGGAGAACACTACGCCCAAGCATGTCCTAGATTTTCAACAAAGCGTCGTAATACACTCGACTTCTCACAATCTTCGCAAATTACAACGCTCGACTCCACGTCAATGGCGCTTAACATTTGCCAGTTAATCGATCACACGAGACTGTCCACAAACTTTTACGCAATCGAGCCGCAGGTGTCTCGTCTGGGTCACGCCAGGTCATACCGATATAAAAAAAACCCGATCGAATCTTGCCACGTAACCGCTTCGTTACGCGATCGTCGATCCTATTGCGTTTTCTCCTTCTTATTCGAGGGAACTTTCTTTTGAACGCTCTATCAAGAGGTTTCATCGTGGACCAGGCGCGCAAAGGGGACCACCTCGTCTCTTGAGCGTTAATTACGATCGACACGGAGAGAACACGGTGATTCGTGCGATCTTAACTATCGTATCGACCGATCGTCCAATTAACGTAAAAACCGGCTCGAGATTTTTTTTTTTTTTGCATCGCGCGAGAATAATAATTGGAAGTCGAGTTATCCATATCCGAATCCATTGAGCGAATGGAAAACGGTGGACGTTGAAAATTGTCGTAAAACCGGATAAGAAGAACAACTCGAATCAATTCGAATCGCGATAAATCTTTTCTTCGTACGTTGGCCAATCAACGATGGCAATAAATTCTTTCGACCGATTTTTTTTTTTTTCATTTCATCCATTAAAAATTCACGAGCGCATTGGTGACTACACCTGGCTCGACCGCTTCGACCACGAGTAAAAGAGTCAGACCTTCACCTGGATTCGATACGCGGCTCACGGCGTAAGCATAAGCACTCCGACAAGTGCTCGAACCGCTTTTTTCTTCATCTTTCTATTTTTTTTCTCCTTTTACGATTTTTTTCTCTCTTTGTTGTTCTCTCATTTTCTTGCCTCTTTTTTTCCCCCCTCCTTGTCGTCGTTCGTAGACGACACGTTGACACACGCGGTAAGCAGGCTTTGAGTCACGCTTTAGAAATTCCACGACGAGCGGATTACGCGTGTAACGCGCCATATTCGAGCGGTACGTGCACCGCGTGCCGATTACACCAAACTCCATTGATTAAGCGCCGCCAGAAACACGAGCATCTTTTGTCGGATCGGTCGATCGATCGATGGATCGTGCGTGAGTGGAACAACAGGCAGTTTCCTCGATTATATCGAAGAAAAATTCTTAAAACTTTTGGAGAAATATTTCGTTTAAATTAAAGAATGGATCACTCGAAAAATTTCGAGTTCTCGAATCTATTTTTGTAATTTGAAAGTCTCGAAACTTGAATGAAGAGTAATTTGAACGAGAAATTTACGAGAATGTTGCGACAATATTTGTTTATCTTTGTTTAACTAATGATAATGAAATTGTTCGTTTGTGTTCAGAGTTTAGACTTGTTTTAATTCGTAAGAGCTCGAGAAGTCAAAGTTAGAATTTTAATTCTCGACAATATAGATATCTTTTGGAAAAGATGATCATTCTGGTAGATTTCATAGAGTTTTGAAATATCGCAAATTATTTTTTAGGATTCAAATATTTTAAAAATCAAGTCTCAATCCACTTGCGATATAAATCGATTTAAATTTGTTCTCGATTTTTAAGATGATCGGTGGAGAAAAAAATATAATAGTAATTGTTGGCGTATTAGGCTTGGTAGAAAGGTAGTATCGTAAAAGAGAAATCGTGCTTGATCGCGGGAGAGATAATTGGAATTTCAAGACGCGGAGAATCGTTTTAAATTTTCATCGTTCTCGTAACCGTTCGGTATTCAACGTTTGATTATTTTACCGTTCCGAATTGTAAATGCTCGAATATTGGAAAGATAGGTATTTGGTATGTGTATATAATACAGAAATATCATCGATATTACCATGATCCAATTAGAGATCTACGAATCACAAATGATAAAGATCAACGGTTGTTCTCGGAAGGAAATCGTAGATTCAACGAGAATGTTAACGTTTCTTGTTAACATCCGCGGAAACAGATTATACGGAAGAGAGGCATAAAATCCACGAGTTGTTTCACTTTATCTGCTTATTAATTAACGTAAAAAGTAAAATTAAAAAATCGAGTTTAAATAAGATGCTCGAATTGGTTCGCAAAAAAATTCGGGATATCCTTTTTTTACGCGATTAAAAGATATCGATAGAAAAGAAAGTAAAAGGAGAAAGTACATATTCGTTTGCGAGAGCTATATACCGAAAGATACGACGATCGTAGATAAAAGATTAAACCGACAAGAGATTTCCTTTCTCCACGCGAACAGAACGTCTCACAAATGAATGGTCGATGATAACGAGACCAGACGTCGTGTTTTCGGTGCACGAAAGCCTTTGGAACAACTCGTTTGCTTTAGATCCGTTGAAAGAACGACATTCGTTGCATGTTGGCATGGGTATCCCTCGAACTAAGATTGATAAATTAAATTGGTGGCACGGTATTAAGCTTAATAAACGTGATCACAGAACAATACTCCCGTCACTTTTCGTGGCATTTCGTGATCGTGATAAAAATATCTGGCAATCGGATAGAGGATAACTCGTTAATCATTTTTCATCGAATGCAATCTTGGCTATTGGTATAAAGAAAGTTTTAATTTTTAAGATCTCTATCGTACATCTTGATTCTCGTAGAATATGACTCGTTTTGAATCGAATGTCGTGCGGCCGAGTTCTATTCGAATTGAACTTTGATCCGTATTTGCGATCGTAGCAATTTTTCTCTTCTTTCTTTTTGCCGCTTTGATATGTGATAAATGTGAATCAGATTATATCTAGTAGGCTGTGACGGGGTGACTGACCTTCGAATGCGGCATGATGACGAGCGATGGAGGAATGAGCGGAAGAGATGAAATCTTTGCGTTGAACTAATTCTAAGAATATTTATGGAGATCGAAGTACATGAAGGCACACATTGTAAAATTGTGAACGTGAAATTTTTAAGAATATCGTTTGATTGGAAACAATCAGAGTTCTTGAAAATCTGTTCGAGAGTTGTTGAATAAGCATTCATTCATTTAAGACTACACAGTGACAAATGTTTGTCTTATCGTACACTCTATTTTTAAATATTTTTTTTCCCGATGCACTTATGTTATGTATACATTACAAGTTGCGTATCCCGACTATTTTTCGTTACAGGTAAAACATTCTGCCAGTCTTGTAAGAAGAAGTGCAGCGGGGAGGTACTACGAGTGCAGGACAAGTATTTCCACATAGGGTGTTTCAAGTGTGCTCAATGTAACGCGAGCTTAGCGCAGGGTGGTTTTTTCGCGCGCGAGGGCTCTTACTATTGCACTAAGGTACTGGAAAATAAAAAATAAGAAATCAAAGTTACGTTAAAAGCCTTATAAAAACCGAGAAAATCTCGATTGTGTATGGAGCGCGTAACGCGAATCGCGATAAATAGATTCGTTCTTTATTTTCCTTCTTTCGTTTCAAGTTTTTTTTTTTTTTTTGTTGTTTTACTTCGAAACATTCGGAAGAAGCGATAAAACGGTATATCACCTCGAACAATTTCAAAAAGTCTCGATAAAATCGCGCGTAAAATTCGTTGCAAAGTTTTCTCGTCGTTCCTCCTCAATCTCCTCTTGGTTTTATCTTGGTGCGCAAATAAACCATTCCATGCGATGACAAACGAGACTGCGAAGATCGTTGAGAAGGGTATATTTCTCGCGTTCGCTCCGGGATGCGATGTCTGGCGAATCGCTCGTAACGATCGTGTGGGCTTCTTAATTTTTCAGGATTACAGGGAACGGTGGGGAACGAAGTGCGCGGGCTGTGGAGAATACGTGGAGGGCGACGTGGTCACTGCCGGAGACAAGCATGCCTTCCATCCCAACTGTTTCCATTGCCAACGATGCAGACAACCGTTACTCGGACAGGGGACCAAGGTTTCCCTCGTCCAAGGTGCGTTTCCCATCGAAATTATTCACATTCCGTTTTAATAAATCGTTTCAGAAAGAAAACCATCGAGATGGGCAAGATACTTGTTAAATACTGCACTTCCTAAAAAACCTAATCGAGTCTAATCGTAATTTCTAATTGTAAATCATACTTGAGCGAGGACAATCCGGTTTAAACTCGAAAGGAGAACGAGAAGATTCGCTGGTTGCGATTCGATCGTCAGAATTGGAGTACCGGTAAACCTGTTAAAGGCAAATTACCACTTAGGTGTATCGTGAGCGAGGTTACGCTCACGTGGCCTTGTAACGATTACGCGGTGAACGCTTAAAAATACGCACGCGTCGAAACGAGCGTATCGCAAGTTAAACTTGCTCCGTTTCGCTTCTCCTCATTGTTTCCTCGTGCAAATATTTATGCGCATCTTCTACCACCGTTGTTGTATCGATCTGGCCGGTCGAGGACAACGATAATGCCGCTTATTTTTAAACGATACCGCAAATAAGACAATACTACTGCGTGCAGCTTCGATCCTCGATCTTTGAACTCTTCGATTAGAAGGATGCGTACGCGCGTTCCAAGAAAATCGAGACGATAACTGGAAGCACGTTTACCGATTACCGTGAGAAATTGATCGATCGTATCGATCGGCGAAGCTGGAATCGGTTATTTATACGCGAAGAGAAAACAACGAATGGACGAACGCTTCTCCTTTTCTACCGTTGGTATTGCGCGTTGCAACGATGAATCAGCCGCGAAGATACGGGATCTATGGTTCGTTTCTCGAATAAAAGACAATGCGGAGCGTATGCGGATCGTCGACCGGATCTGTCCAATCTCAACTAACAGAGCGTTGTCTATAGGTCAAGCTCTTTGCCACCGATGCGTCGGTATCCCTGTCCGAGAGGCCTCGACGCCAATCGGGAATAGCTCGGCCACCAGAGGATCCGGAGACGGGCCCTCCGACCCCGGTGCCTGCGCTGGTTGTGGAAACCAATTACGAGAAGGTCAGGCTTTGGTAGCTCTCGATCGACAGTGGCACGTATGGTGTTTAAAATGTCACAGCTGTGACACCGTCCTTCATGGAGAGTATATGGGAAAGTGAGTAAATATATCGTTCTAATCTAGCACGAGTTATATTTGCATTATTATCCTTTACATTATTGCGTTAAATATTTCATTATTGGGAAAATAATATTGATACTGTCAATCAAAAAAAATTGAAATCATTCTTCTAAAATTTATATTATAAATTTTGTAATTGGAAAACAGAAATGCAAGAATTGCTTTATGTAAATTAATTTCTAAAAATTCAGACGAAAGTAGAATATTTTGCGATCATCCAACGCGCGTAATGTTCCATTTATTTAAAATTGTTTATCTTAATCTCAGAATGAAAAACCGACGTAACTTTCTCATCAACTCGTACATTCCAGTACGTTTACTTATTTTTCATTTTGATCTTGTCGAAAGATTTCAGTTGAAAATCGTATAACTCGTGAAATCTTGGAAGAATAGAAGAAATTACTTTTATATTTAATGTATTAGACGAAAAAGAAACCCGAGAAAGTACGGTCTAGAAAATAAGTCGAGAAATGAGTTGAAATTTCGCTGATTTTTAGTTGATAGTTAGAGCAATCAGGGATTTGTCTAGATTAGAATCGGAGAAAGTTAGGACTCATTAGACCCAACTATTAGCGCTTATCTAAACTATCTAACAAACGCGCTTCTTTGAACGAACGAAATTCCTCGACTTTGATCGACAGAGACGGGGTGCCTTATTGCGAGAAGGATTACCAGAAATTGTTCGGTGTGAAATGCGCCTATTGCAATCGTTACATCAGCGGAAAGGTGCTGCAGGCAGGTGACAATCATCATTTTCACCCGACTTGTGCCCGTTGCACCAAGTGTGGCGATCCCTTCGGCGATGGAGAGGAGATGTACTTGCAGGGCGCTGCCATTTGGCATCCCCGTTGTGGCCCGGGTCCTAGCGGACCCAATGGTATCGTGAACGGCCACGGAGAAGCTCACACGCCACAGCATCGAGAATCAGAACGGATTTCCAGCAGCGCATCGGAGATGCAGGTAAGATAGCGGGGATCGGAGGAAAGTCGGAAGTTCAATTAAGGTCATCGACTGTCCGACTACTTCCGTCGATGTTACGGTCACTTTCAGTCGATCGATGAGCAGTCAAATAGGATTCGTATATTAGTCGCGATTTCTTTTTTATTTTTATAATTCGTTACCGCGAATTTTTGAATCGGAACTGGCCAACTGTGTATTATATTTAGTTTTTGTAAAATATTGTATCATACGTGTACATTCGTGTCTGTGTACAGATCATTGCATTTGTTTCATCATTTGTTTTATTTTTGTGATTATTCATAACTATTTTAGTATTCATTTTTTTCCCCCTGTAATCACGATAGTCATGGATCATTAAATACGTCGCGGAGGGAAAGGTGTCATTAACATTTTCCGTACGGACGTGTACGTTAATATCTAATATCATCCGTTTATGTATTCGACAACGCGTGATTAATTGCTTCAAATAATATTCATCTCGAACATCGACATTCGTAATTAACGCGTGCACGTCGCTATCCACGTCCGCCAATTGCATTTTTCCGTTCAATTGCATCGTACACCGTTGATCGACCTAAATCGTGTCTGTGCGCATACTTGAATTTTGAAGTTTGCCATTCGATCGTAAAAAAAAAGGCGGCAGGGAGGAAATAAAAAGAGAAACAAGGGGGGAAAAATAACCAAGAGGAAATATATTGTTCTCGAGCCAGCTCTGGCTCGCGAAATACGAAGTTCAGCTTGCATCGTGCTTATATTTGGACTGTTGTACGACACGTACTTTCATGTGAAACGTTTTTTGCTGCTCGGTTCATTTTTGTGTCCGTTGTTATACAGAGCAATTTAGAGTAGACCAATTTAGAGCCTAAAGTACTTACTTCTTTTTTTTTTCTTTTTTTTTTTTTTCTTTTTTTTTTTTATTCGTAATTAGCTTTGTGTATAGCTTCGTTCCCATTGTATTCAATGATACATTATGTGGCTTTTAACATGCATATGTTCCTTAACATGTCGTATCTTTATAGCACGCTTCGATGCCCAAAATTTTATATACATATATTATACATATACATATTTATATATTATATATATATATATATTTTAACGATTTACCATTTATGATTTGATTTTCTTTATTATTTTTTTATTTTTATTGTTGCTTTCTTAATCGTTGTTTATCTTTTTTTTTTCGCACGATCATTGTGTATAGTTTTCATTGCGGTCACGCACGCCAAGCCTGAACGGATCACTCTGCAGCCCTTACAGCAGCCTCAGTCGCAAGGTATGCCATGTATCTCCTAGCACAGCCATTCTCTCAAGAGACACTTTTATTTATTTATGAAATATTTTGAAATATTTATGATCCGTACTCCTGATTTCATTTTGTAACAGCTAGCTTCGAAATTTTTACATCGTTGATGGACGATGCTCTCTTGTAAATTTTCGATTATTCTTCTATTTACTTTGCATTTCTATCGGAAGTAGAAATATTTTTAAAAAAAGTGAAAAGATCTTATTGAAATTTAATAGTATAAATATACAATTTAATAATATAAATATATAATTTAATAGTAAATAGAAAGTCAGATATAAGTATACATAATTTCCTTGGTTACTTAAAAATGATTTTAAATTAAAAATCCCCTAAAAGATAAGATGGTCACGAATATAACGGTTTTAACAATTATTATCGATGGTAAATTTCATCATCTAAGATGACTCATTATGCTAATTTATTCTCAAATATTTAACGAAGCTAGCTTTTGCGATTACGAAAGATTTTTCAATGATATCTGTGGAAACAGTGGATTTCTCTTGAGAGAGAATCAAAGCGCGTTGAGATTTTATATTCCTTTGCCGAGTAAATTTAGCTGTATGAGAGACGCTTTAAGATTGAAATCGAAAAAGAAACAGCATGAGTTTAGCCGTGATAATATACGTTAATTGCCCCAGTATTATCCCGCGCGAACTGGAAGTCCCGGATTGATATTGCGAGAATACGGACGTGGTCCATCCGAAGATGTGTCTAGGATTTATACTTATTCGTACTTGACCGAAACGCCGACCCAAGGATACTTGAGACGTCCGATACAGCCGTACGACAAACCTCCGACTAGCCCACACTTTCATAGACCTAGCTGTAAGTGGTATTCATCTTTATTTCTCTCGAGATCGAAAGAAACAGAATCTTGATAAAAATTAAATTCTGTAGAGTTGTATTAGAATTGTGTATGCGATAGAATTAAATATTATAAAATATTTAAACGGAATCGGATCGTACGTGATATACGTGTCGCTAAATCATGCGATGATTTTATTTTAGCGTCACGTTCGATAAGAAGCAGTGGCGGACGCAGCAGCCGATCTGGAATGCGTGCTCTGGTCGATGCTCTCAGCGAGACCAGACCAAAGTCACCGGCCAGTCAAGTAGATAATGACGAGCCAATAGAGTTGGCGCATTATCCGGACGCCATGAAACCTCCTCCTGGAACCAAACCGCCGATCGAGAGAGATGATTTTCCCGCTCCACCTTATCCTTATACAGATCCTGAAAGACGTAGACGATGGTCCGACACTTATAAGGTAACACGACGAATTGCGACGTATTCTTAAGCTGTCTGCACGTTTTATCTATCTGATTCGATATTCGATTCAGGGAGTACCTGCATCCGACGACGAGGACGAAGTGGATAACAAAACTTATATAAAGGAGGTGGAGGAGAAGTTGAAGAAAGAACAGGACGAGCTGAGCAAAATCGATACTGGAATAGCGAAAGTGTTTTTGCAAGATCGTGAAAAGGATCGAGAGAATTTGAGACACAGAGCCGCGAACGTTGATCCTAGAAATGCGTCGAGAACGCCATCAGCTGCCAGAGAACCGACTTATAGACTGCGATACGAGAGTCCAGTTGGCGCTTGTGAGTTATTATCATGATTCATTCTTTAATCGTTCCACTTTGATGATAAGTGTATTTAAATTGTATAAATTTAATTTTCGCGTAGCGCCTTCGAGGAACATAGATCACGCCAGACCGTGGGAGGACGATGATGGTTTCAGTTATAGATCTAGCGTAGGACCTAGTTACAACGGTAAGTTCCTTTTAAACGTGTAACCAATCTAGTCGTCACTTTATATTTATATATATTTCATGATCGTTTCATTAACATTAAGTGATAATCATCTCATACATGTCCACACGTTCGCACATAACACTAACATTTACCACTCTATCGTTTATTTATTGTATAACATCGACTCGTTAAATTTCGAGACGATAGTAGGGGTGGGGGTAATAAAAAAATCCCTTTCATACATTACAAAAAAAAAAGAAAGAAAGAAAGAAATATGTAAAATAAAAAAAAAATCTCCTTTATCGTGGAACGGAACGTTGCAACGTACGAATCTTGCAGTGGGAAGGGGTGATGATGCTCGATTAACGAACGATAACACACTGTGCGTGTAAACTCGAGCAGGAGTTTATAAGTTAAGTGGCATAGCACCAAATACCACAGCATACACTGGGCGTCCATTAACGTGACAGGTGATGTATTTATTCCGCTTCTGCATGTGGTCGGCAATATTACCTTCGATGTGCTTGCCTCTTCTTATCTTTCTCGATTATTTCTTTAATACGCCAAAATACGAGTAACAGAAATAGCGTGCGTGGAAAGTTCATCCTTTTCAAGTAGCGTAATATCGATTTCCATTATTTCGTGCGTGATTATTCATCAATATGTTTATACATACGATTCATTACTTAGATAATATTTTTTGCTATTTCCTTTCTTTCTCCCTTTCTCGCATGGTAATATTATATCTATTGTAAATTTCACTCTTGGCAACCTCATTCATTCATACACGAACACATATCGCTCCAAACTTCATTCTCTCTCATACTTTTATGGAATGTTTTTTTTATTTTATTTTATTTTATTTTGTTTTTTTTTTTTTTTAATTACTATACAATATTGGAAGATAATCGCAATACATACATACGCGCTCGGAAATATGTACATTATCAATTTCGTGCTATATATATATTAACTTGTATAAATTTTCATTTCGCCGCATGACAGTTGTATATCTTCAGCACTGCATAAACTTTTTATTATATTATTGCTTTGCGTATAAAAGGAAAAGGAAGATTGTTGTTATATACAATATATTATATACGTATCTAGTAGGCTGACATATTTTCGTGGTATATTTTGGCCTGGTTGAACGCATATCTTCCAATGTTGGAAACATTCAAAGAAAATCGATAGGATTTACCGCTATCTACGTTAGCCAACACTGCTACCTGTATCATCGTGTCTCTATTTGTGTTTTTGTGTTTGTGTTGTGTTTGCGTGGGCGGCAGTTGGGAGGTCATCGGCACGTTCCCCGGCTCCCAGAAACTATCCACCCCTTGGTACTCAACGCGCCTTCACTCTTCCAAACGCCGCTAGGCACTATCATTCGGTGAGTCCGAGAACTTTCCAATTCACCTACCGTTGATCTCAAGTCAAGTTCAAAATTAGCGTAAAAAAAGAAAGAAAAAAAAAAAACACAAAGAAAGAGAGACAGAAAATCTCTTTCTGTTATCCTTACAATGCGGCAGTGTGCTGCGAGCAAATTTCATCGGTCTGAGATTCGTTTTTCAGCGTATTGAAACGGGAGAAAAAAGAACGAGACTTCTCAAGAGCAGTCGTCGCGTAATAAAGATCGAAAAGAAACACGATTCGTTGACTTGTCTTCACGGGAGGAATGCTTTTTGTTCTCTTAAGCTTATTTGGAGAAGCGTACGTTGATCGTATTTTACATATACACACAGGTGTTGGCTTCTTCGTATATATATTTTAAATATAATATATTTTATATATAATTACATTACATATATATATATATATTTACCTTTTTTCATTGTTACGTATTACCTTGCACAGTATTAAACGAGAAATAAATGCTTGCGCACTTTGAACATCGGATATACGTTCCACCATTTTGCCGTGGGGATGCGTTATAAACAGATCGACAAACGAAAACTCGAACAATGAGGATATTTTTACACGATAGCTTTTAAATTTTCTTTTCTTTTTTTTTAATTATTCCTCTTCTCTTTCATCTTTGACGATCTTTTCTTTCTTTCTTTCTTTATAAGAAAAAAGAAAAAAGGTTGTCAAAGATAAATCTGAATTCTCGTGTTCGTGAAGTGAGATAAAACGTACGTAAAAAAAGAAGAAGAAGAAGAGGATAAAATAAAATCTCTCGATGATTCGAATCTTGTACACGAGTGGGATCAAAACCACCTCCGTATAATTATTTTATGCACAGAATGTGTGTTCTTTTTTCTTGTATTTTTTTGTACTTGGCGAACGTTGGGCATTCGTATGGGAATGAAAGATTTCCACTATTCCCGTTTACACTAATCAGTAATACTGTCGATTGACTGATTTGAAACCAGTTGTGAGCTCCCTTCGGCACATCCCGAAGCCAGGGTACGGTCTGGCACCGCGAAGTCACACCTTCTCCTCGACCGGCGGTTCTGTATCTGCTCTCCCTGTAAGTCTTGCACCGCGTCACAATCGACGACCAAAAAAAAAAAAAAAAAAAAAAAAAAAATTGTTTTTTGCACCGTTGTTGCTGATTTTTACAAATATAAAGTAAAAAGAAAAAAAAAGAGAATGAATGAAAAAAATATATATGTTGTAGAGATAATGATACACGTTTTAATTATCGTTCTTTTATCCGTTGATTAATCACGAATGTCCATGTTTCGGTTGTTTCTAAGATTTACGCTTTTTTGTCGTCTAGGGTGATTATTCGTTCAGTGGGATGGGAGACAAGACGCACAGCACTGATTTCTCATCTGGCAAGTCAGATAGTGAGTAACCCAGAAAGGAAACTGATCACACATAACATACACACATATGGTTACCTTGCAATTACATTTTATTCGTGCAGTATATCGAATTTTTTTGTATATGCTTCTTTTTTTCTTTTTTCTTTTTTATTTTTTTATTTTTTTCTCAATTTTCAATTTCTACTTTTTATTTTTATTTTTGAATCCACGAGTAGGAAACACTCGTGAAAATATATATATTTCGTTCTCGATTATATTCTAATCTAATATCCGAGCATGCTTTACTAATGCATCTTTGCTCTATCATTTACTGTCACTTCTTCTCTCTTTCTCTCTTTTTTTTTTTTTTGTATCTTGGTTTAATTACGACGCCTAAGTATCATACGATTCTAGCCACGTACTATTCCATATATTAGATTTAAAATTGCATAATAAAACTTGTTTGAATCTATTAACCAAATGAGTTTATAGTGTGCCCAAGTGACAGTACCTATTCGCCAGTAACGTGACTTTATGACACGATAATTCTTTGATCATTCACAGCTGGTACATATCGTGTAGCTTAGAAAATGAAATTCAGGTCATATGTGTAATATAATCATCGATATAATCATTTGCTTATACAGTAATTTGATCGGATCAATCGTATTCCCGATCGTTGGAAGTGCAAGTGCCAACTTCGTTCGCTCATATATTTAGATTTTATATTTAATCCGATCGTTTGTTTTTCTCCATCGACACGGAATACGATCGAATCGATCGATGGAAAGATTGTAATTTAACATTTATCGAAATGGTTTGTGCAATATGGTTTGACATGGTTTTCTTTCCCATTTTTTTCCCCCAATTTTAGTATCGACAGGAAGCATCACGGATGTGGATCGACGGGCATTGGTATGTACCACAGCCCCATACTACTCCCGGCGAATTAGCATGGTTTGTAGCTTGTTTTGCATATGAATTATTTAACAGCATATTATCATTGGCGTCGCGCGTCATAAAATTAGACATTTGCGTGATTTCTTGAGATACGGAGAATTTTCGTAGAAGCGAGAGAACGAGTGCCGGCCAAAATCGTTCAACGTAGTAGATCGGATTTAGACGTATTTGTATATAACGAGATTTTGCCGGTTTGTTTATATTTGTATAATATATAACGTTTTTACATGTACAAAATTGTATATTGATTTACGCATGCACGTGCTGTATATTTGCTACGATATATATATATACATATATATATATATATTTTTTTTTAATGAATTCTTTTTTTTCTTTTTTGCATCTTTTTGTACAATTTTTTTTTCTTACCTTGGCATATTTGAAGATTGCATATTTGATTTTGATTTTGCGAGAAAAATTGAACACGATCGCGAGAATTCGATTGATCGTTTGCTATGTCTTGAATATATGTACACCGAAAGATTAATCGGCTTTCTCCTTTTATTTTAGATTGATTATATGCTTGTTATTATTTTTATTTGTTCGTTGTACGATAACACGATGTGAGTTTCGCGTACGAAATGTTAGAGCGTCGAAAATAATTAAAAATCTCGAATAACGCTAACGAGATTGACGTGTACTTGCGGTGTTCTCATAACTTGACTGCATATTCTGCATCCGTGGCATAATCAGTGCATACGAGACGGGAAACGGAACTATATGCCTAAACTGAAATTAACATGTGCATGAGATTGTACCGTGTGCGATACGTGTTTCGATTGCTTTTGTTCTCTTTTCTGTCGGTTAAGAAAAATTTGAAGAAGAAAGAAAGTGTAATGTAACCGTTGCATCGAATCGTATAATTCATTAATTAAAGTGCACGAACAATTCCCAATCGAGGAGCAACGAGTCGGAAAATTAATCCGTGAAAAAATGCCAGTTCCTATCACTCGTTTCAGTCTAGCTTTATGGTTCTGTCTCGTGTTAAGCTCTGTCGAATCATTCATTAACAAATGCGGTGTTATGCCGATTCTATTTTGTTGCTACAATAATATACATATATATGTATTGGCTCTTGTTGCAACGGACAACAATCGATCCGTTGCAAGGTGAAAGATTCTCGCATCAATCATTTTTTCTTTTCCATTATAACGAATATGAAAATTAATGCATAAAAAATCGTGCGAGAAACTTTCGAACGGCTGCACCGCTATTAACGCTCATCACACGTTAAGAATGGATCGCTTTACAATGGAATAATTAACGATTGAATGATTGTTCAGAATGATGGTGGAATGCTGCCATCATCTACCACGTATACAGGTGGCCTAGGTTCGGTAGTTGGAAGTCACGGGGGCCATCACGTGAGGAGATCACTGCCAGACATGGGGACAGCACCGTCCGAACCGCCGAAACTCTATCCTTATCATTTACTTGTCATCACAAACTATAGGCTGCCCGCTGACGTGGATCGTTGCAACCTCGAAGTGAGTCGATCGAGAAATCGTTTACATAATTTAATTAGGCGATGATGTTTCTATCATCGAACGGATTGTTTTTTCCTTCGACGAATGTTAATTCATTGTTATTATTTTTTTTTTTCAGAGACATCTTTCCGACGCGGAGTTTGAGGCAGTACTTCAGTGTACTCGTGCCGAGTTCTACAGATTGCCGCAATGGCGTCGTAACGAAATCAAAAGACGTGCCCGGCTGTTTTAACTGGCAGCTATCACGCTACGTGTTCTACTTATTACCTTCATCGTGTCACGACTGTGTTACCGTGCTATAGAGTGTACATTCCTTCCGCGTGGTAGGTGTTGTATCATGAGAGAAAAGGAGAACACGTGTTCGGGGAACCAACGATTCGTATCCGGTTTTCGATCGCGAACATCGACGATATCAAAGCGTTGTCATCGTTGCGAATGCAAAAAATAAAAATCGGGGCAATCTCGACCTCTCGCCATTTCTTACACGTTCACAGGGACACGTATAAATGCATACACACATGTTTAAACACGTATAAACACAATGTTCGCACGATGACGCAAATACTATAATACATATACATAAAGGAGCACTACCATTTGACGTCAATTTTATTCTCTCAGCAACGAATCCACAGGCAGCTTGATTTTTGATCGTTCACAAACTATTTCATCGTATCCTGTGATTTCGGTGCTTCTTTCGGGAGAATCTGTATGTTGTTGATAAGGAAAACGAAAGAAGGATATGTTCAACCGTTTCTGTGATTGACAGAAAAGACCTGCTAATTTGAGAATTGAAGAAAAAGGGTTGAAACGTTTATGATCCGACGTTGTTAACGAAAAGAAATATGTATTGTATGTATATCAACTATTAACAGTGATGGTTTCATTGGGAATATTTCAGACAGAAAATTGTTATCCTGTATTTAACATGTACACTTTCTATGACTAGAATTTTCACGAAAAGTGGAAATAGTAGATGGATAATAATAATTTTAGAGAAATAGCTGAAAGTAAAGGTGGTCAGGATCGTCTAAAATTTTATCATTTAACTGGAACATCATCTTGTGACTTAGAGTTTACCCGTGAACACATCGACGTGCATATAAAATAGCGCGATGGGAAGATGTGCAAGATTCAAAGCGAATAAAAAACGAAAAAAATGGTAATACTCGTCGATACGCAAACGTTGATGTAAATAAACGAACGATGTAAGAGAAATCTTAGAAGAAATGAAAGAAGCAACGGAAGTACGAGGAAGTATATACATATATGCATATATGTACACAAACGTATAATACCATTTTGAAAATTCGCTTGAATCACGGAACACACTAATTGCAAAAAGCTATAACATAAACGCGCTACTATTATAGAAGTTATCATTATCATTATATTATTATTATTATTAATTTTTAATTATTATTATTAATTTTTAATTATTATTATTATTATCATCATTATTATTATATTTTACTATAAGCAACATGAAATTTAAAGTATAACTAGATAGGAAATCCAGCTTGTCGAATGACGTAATTATCAATATATTTAAATATCATCATCGAGTTTGCTCTTTCTATTTTAATTGGGTATACGAGAGATGCGAATATTTATTGACAAAAAACATTACACAAATTTTCCTCAACTCGATTTCTTTTATATATATATATATCAAACTCGGATCAAACTCGAAGAATTAAGTTCAATATTTATTTGGATAAAGAGAAATTATCGAAAAAAAAGAGAAAAAACAAAAGTTACCGAGTCAATTATTCTTCTGCGAGCGAATACGTCAAGCGACAAGCTGAAAACACAAAAGGAGGAATATGTTACAATAGAATTATTAAATTTCCAACAGGATGCAATTATTTGTATGGTTTTGTGAAGCATAACTTATATAAAAATAATTTGCAATGTAAAAGAAAAGAAAAGATGCGATATGTTTCCAATGCTAAAAAAAGATCCACGCGGGAGTGTGCATATTTTAAAATCGCGTTTTATTCTATATCTCGCCTTCTATTCTAAGTTATACGTGTCTATATGTAAATGTCGGCAGATATTTCTAGATACGACAAGCAGTTTAAGCGCTTTCTCTGACATGAGAGAGCATCTTTGACAAAGTACATATTGCAGTTACGTTCGTGCAATTTCCTGGAGTGTTTCTCGTGGCTTCGTTACGAAGAAGTGGGAAACGTACTTCATGATCTTGTGCAATATACTAATGCGAGCTCGCGAGACGAAGAGAAAGAAAAAAAAATTAAGAGAGAGAAAAGTAACCATGCACACCACGTGAAAGAATTATTATTTGTGCCAAGGAAACGAGAAGGGAACAGATCTTTCTTCTTTCATTCGCGCGATATCGTTTCTTGTTTCCTCGTGATCCGCTTTTGTACACATCAGAACCAATAAACTGCAACATTTATCTTTCATTTGCAGTATTTTACCAATAGATGTTGAATCGTTCGGAGGTCATTTTTTGAAAATTTTATAAATTACTTGGTCTTTGGGTTACTTTTTACTTTTAAGTCATTCTCGTCTTATGTTCTTTCTTTTTCATTGCGTTTTAATATTTAATATTTCCTATGTTGTGTTTCCATCTCTTGATTTATTTCTTTTTCTTTTCTGTTTTTTTGTCTGTTTTCTGTATTGTGTTTTCTTTTTCTTTTCTTTTTTTTTTTTTTTTCATTTTTACTCGAATGAAGAGAGTCATACGTTTATAAGTTTTAATTTACGACAATGAATGATAAAGTGATTCTTACCGTGACCGCTGTCAGATCATGGTGCATCATTGTCGTTTACACCGTGCAATGCGAACCAATGTACGTTTCTGTTGTATAGAGCACATTGCTTCCGCTAGTCCCTGAAGTTAAATAAACGCAACATACAAAGAAAGAAGCTGAATCACGCGTCTCTTCACATTCTTATCGAATCGAAGCGATTTATAGACGCGATTGAATCTTTGCTCGGATCAGTTGCGTTCTTTTCACGTTCTCATCGTTGTCAAAGTGATGCATTGCGAACATATGTAGTTATCGATCGGTCATTGTACAAGATTTTCTTTTACACTGTTTTTCTCGAAAATATTATTTTTACTTTTTATTAAAAACAAAATTATAATGTATCGTATATAAACATCGTTCGCACTTTGGTTCCTAGTAAATTCTTCGCCTTGCATAATACATTTCTATCGATCATGTTTCTTATTACTATCTCGTGAAATAAATAAACCATTTGTCCCAGCGTTGCCTTTCGCAATCTGGCTTTATTTTATTACCCATCGTCTTGTGTTATTATTTCAGAAATAAATCTAGGAGCTGTTCAACTTTTCCCGAAGAATAACAAAACCTTCTAGAATACAAGATAACGGCTCATACTCGTCTAAAGCGAGTTCTGCCCGTTCTCCAGAAGAAAGCAACGTTGGCGTTGTGTGCACGTATCCAGCAGAGATGGATTTAGGATTGCCAGCTTTGCCTACGATGTCTACAGCTTGTCCAACTCTTACGGACACCGGTAGAGTCTGATCAAAATATTATTTTTATTCATTTTAAATATTCAGTATCCATCAATTACATATTCACATTGTTTTCTGATTCCTGTAAGAAAAATTCCTGCAAATACATACTTGCAAATTTTCATCCAAAGTGACCAACCATCTGGGTTCCATTGCAAGCGCCAGACAGTACATCAAGTAATGAGATTTCGCCAGGATCAGATTCTGACAATCGAGAAAAGCCACCAAAACTACCAGCAATCCAGCTAAGGCTGCTCTATCCAATATTTTGGAGCCATACCGTAACGGAGATATGGATAAAGTACCCTAAAGATTTTCAATAAAATGAAACGAATGGCCAAGCATTTAGGATGGATCAAATTTTTCATATATATATGTATATTTTTTTTTTTTTTTTTTTTTTTTTGCTTTACTTTGCCAAGATGAACCAAGCCTTGGGAAATTCGAACGAGGAATAGATGTAAGGGATTTTTTGCATGGTAGCAGGCCAATTGTCTCAACATGGTGGCAAGTCGGGCATTATTTGTTCCTGCACCGACGAGACCGAGAGCAAAGATTGCACTGTTGGCTACCTCGGAGTCATTGTCGTGGCTGTATTTATTTAGGACGTCGAGAACTGCCAAGTCTGGATTTGACAAAGAGGATAGGCCTAGGGCCAGTGGCATTGCTCGTCTTGCGTAAATAGATCCGTATCTTCCAATCTGAAAAATAATCCCTTATAAAAACAGATTGATCATATATTGACACTTTTGAATCAAGGGATTTTTCTCATCACCTGGCCGAATATCCTCGAATTCTCTTTTCCCTCTCCCAGTCCAACAGCAGCGACACCCAAAGTAGCTATGGCCTGCGACGAGCCGATTTCTCTGAAAGATACATGAAGAATTATGAAAAGGTCATGAATATAATAAAAATATAAATAAAAATGCGATTAAAAGAGTACTTTGATCCCCCGTGTTGTTTCTCTTCTAACTTCTCTTTGGTTTTTTTCTCAGAAAATTCGATAATTCGATGGCGTTGATCGCAACAACTGCTGACAGGACTGCTAGCCGGCGTAGCAGGAATACTTTCACCATCCACCGGTTCCGAACATATTCGTAACAATTCCTGAACAATCAATACATCCCCTGTCCCAGCATATGCACACACCTGAGGTCAATCAATATCTTTTAATCTTGATGATTTTTTCATTTTTATATTTATATTTAATTTATATTTCAGAATATACAATATCTTAATAAAGTTGATAGTATTACCTGTAGCATAGTCTGCGCAGCAAGTTTGTAAGGATCTGGTAAGACTTCAAGTGCGGCCGAAGAAGCCTCTATGATATCGCGACAACCCATGTAGACCATTCCCAGTGCCAGTGACAGAAATCTGTAGAAAAATGAATTCGAAACAATTCTTCTTCGCCGTCATTTTAAACTCGATAAATGTATTTCTTGTTAACCTAGAATGGGTACTAGATAACTTTTGAGGAGTAAATTCTAGTAGTTTCTGTAGAAGGGTCGAAGAAGCTTCAGCATCGGCAGAACCAACGTTTATCAACCCTATCGCAATTGCTCCCAAAGACATAACTTCCATGCTACCTAAAAATTGCTCGTCACACGAAAGATTCTTTCTTTGAGGTATCCATAAACGTACTTCCATTGTCCACCAGAACTCCCGTTAGAAGCTCCGTAACATCAGATCTTTGTGAGCCAGCATAAGCCAAACCTAGACCCAAAATGGCACCGATTCTCAACGTGGCGTTTTCAGAGGACACATAATCGCTGAGAAGTGCCAGTGCTGGATCGCATTCATTGCGAATGCCGCAATTAACCAATCCTATAGCAAGTAAAGCACCTGCTTTGATGTTGTAATCGTTCGTATAAAGATATCTGCGAGGGAAAACATATCTCAACTCTTGGACATTTGTTCGTAAATTATAATTTCATTACGATAAAAGACGCGATTCACTTGTCGATAGGTACCAATCCACCATCTACGTCCCACATGTGTATCAATCCCAAGGAAGCGGTTGCAGAAAGCATTCCGTGTTCCTATCAAATAATTTACTTCAGCTTTGAATCGTTTAAATTTCTTCTTTTGGAAAAATCTCGTTATAAATACGTTATAAAAACCTTATTTTTATAAACCCAACACTCTGTAGTGTTGTCCATTAGTTTATCTTGGCCGAAACCAGCATGAACGAAACCGGAAACGAAGGTGGCTGCTAGATTGGCTCTGGCTGAATCGTGTTCCGCGCGTCTCAGGGTATTGGTTTCTAACCAGGTTTTGTAAATGTCGTCTGGATGTTTGGGTTCTAAAATATCGAGTTCCCTTGCGAGTAAATGGAAATGATTGTTTACGTGGCTGTTACTCAAAATGGCTTCGATATCCTTTGCATCCTCTCCTTGATAATCCTTTTTCAACGGGGTCTCCTAATGATCAATAAATTATACGAATGAAATATTGGATTTGGAATAATTCATACGAGATGTGACAAATTACCCTTTGTCTAACGAGTATGAATGCCAATTGTTTTCGCATTAAAGTATCAGGGCAAGTGACGAGACATTTGTGTACAAGATCCGAATCTCCCAATTGAAGGGCTACTAACATTGCTTTGCAATATTCTTTGAATCGTAAGTAATGATCAACTACGACTTGCAATATTTGTCTTCTTTCGGTATCCTCGCTGATGATTAAGTAATATAAAAATAAATGAGATAAAATTTCATAAATTTTAATAATTGCATTATATGAGAAAATTGACCTGTAGGCTGCACAACTCTCTAAATATCGACAGACTCGTTCAAAATTCGTGATATCCAAAGACTCGTTTAAAAAATTCAATTGATCGATCTCCAAACATAGATCGCAACCAGGTATCTCTGCGTTATGCTTCATATCGAATTTTATGATACCTCTCACTAGAGGAGTAAGCTCTGTTCTGTCAATAAATGAATAAAAAGAAAATAATAAAAAATACATAAGAAATTTGTCGGTGAGAGAAGCATTTTTTCTTAAGATCTAAAATACCTTATACGATTCTCTTCTTTTACAGGAGAATTTGTCCATTCATCTACGATTTCACCTTCGAGTTGTCTTATGTACTCATGACCCCATTCGCCAGGTTTCGTTACCTCACCTTGGATGCAATATCGAAGGCACTCTTTGGATCCTGGCAATGCCCCTGCCATCGATAATACGCTCAACACTTCCGCGAATTGATGTCTCACTTTATCGTTTTGAATATTTTCATAAGCATTTTTCATATCATTATACGTCTTCTTTAAATATTTGAGTGGTTTTGGTACAGAAGTCATCGAGGTAGTCGAGGTTTGCATTAGTAATCGAAGTTGACTTAGAGCTATCAACATTGCATCTTCGTCCTTTCCCTCAAATTATAATTGACACGTCATTGAATGCTTGGGTTAGGTCGTGATCCATAATAATTATTAAGTTAAAAAAAATAAATAGTATATGGAGATTAATTCTTATTTACTAGTAATACATCGGCCAGTTGAAATAGTTCTTCCTGCAGCCGCGTGTCTTCTTCGTCCTGATAAATATTTCATCGATTTAAAAAATAAAATGAATTCAAAATAACGTATTTTTTTACAACATTATACGATTACCATTTCAGATTCTTTTTGTTGACCGATTTTAGCCATCTTTTTTTAACGTTCTTTGCAGAATTTTAAATTTTTAACAATTATTTTTAACGTAGAATTAGATTATTTATTTACGAAATTCGTGAAAATAGTTGATAACACGTTTTCGATTCAACGTATGTATTCGATTCTCTTTTTTTTCGCTTGTCAAATATATATATATATATATACATATAGATAAATCACGAATTTCAATCGTCATGTTTGACAAAAGTTTAATGTTACTATTAAAAACACTATACTGATGGAACAGGATAAAGGTTTTGCCGATTAATTCGGGCGTAATACTTTAAAATTATAATTTATTTAGCCGTAACAAAAGTATTTATCGTAATTACACTATACATGTAATGTGTTTTAATACATATACATATAGAGTTTTATATATATATACAATTGCATCGAATGATGATCAAGATAAAAAAAAATATATATATATATATAACGTGTATATATATTATCATATTTATATATTTAAAATATCGTCAATTAAAAATTTCCAAACTTGATTTCCTTTGTACCCTGCTTAAATTTAAACGTTATCACATTCTCTCATTGCTTTGTATACAACATTCTTCTCGTGGTCATCATACATTATTTTAAAAATCTACCTCGCTGACAATCGCGTGGAAAATCGTGATCGTTTCGTCTATCTAATTGTGCATTACGTCAAAGGCCTCTCGAACAATGCGCGATAATATTTAACTTATTTTATCCTCTGAAAACAACGGTACAATTTCCTTCGAGAAAAGAAAAAAAAAGAAGAAGATAATAATACGTTCTGTGAGCACTTCTCTTGCCGATCTTGTCAGTCGGAAGTGGAAATTTCATACACCGGGTAATTCGAACGCAATTTGACCATAATTCTTTTTTTTTTTTTTCCTTTATATGTATATGCATATTTTTTTTTTTAATTTATCATTTTTTTTTTTTTTTTTTTTTTTACGCGCGTACAATCGTTTTGTCTTAAGCATATCTTAGGGGAAAGTCTTATTGCTCTTAGAAATAGAGGAACATATTAGGAATGATTCTACGATATCTAAATAGCTCCGTTTTCACGAACGAAAAATATAGTAGGCGGAAGTCAACGTTGCGTACAGATTTGCGCGAAGAAGAATTCATTTCTATCCGGTATCTACGATTTAGTATTTATCAACAAATTTATCGTAGACGAGATGTTTCGTTCAATTTTAACTTTGATAATTTAAAATTTGATTGAGGCACTCGAGTTTTTATCACGATGAATATGCAAACGACGACCGATTATCGTTTATTATTATACACGATCAGCATATTCCTTTTCTTACTTCTGCGTCGTCTTTTCGCATATTTCAATAAATAACTACGTTTCGTTCGCGCGGATACCTTGTCCATACTAGAGATCACATTAATAGCTATTAATATTTCTTCCTTTTCATTTTTTACACACGTATCGTGTTAGCCGTAATCAATTTTCTTCACATCTGTGAGAATTCAACTCGATTCAAATTCATCGATGTTCGTGTTTTGTCCATCTTCTAGGATATGTTAACACGTTGATTACCTATATCATCGTAATTATCATGCCAATTAAATATATTTTACTATGAGTATACTCGTAATCGGTAGTCAACGTGTTAAATACGGCGATCGTGTTACTACAGTACATTTGGCACATTCTCTCTAAGGCTATCGCGTAAATGCAAACGAAATACAATTGTCGTTAGTAATAATTAAGAGGAGAGAAAAAAAAAAAATGTTGCACACACACACACGCGTGTCGCGCGAAAAAATATTACTTCAAAGAAAATTTATATTCTTCATCGTTTTCTAGTCGTAAAAAATAATCCGATACGATCTATGATAAATTGGGATGGAAATAAGTACAATCGTTGGTAGTTCGTTTAAATAACAAATGAAACGGACACGCGTGATTAAAGTAGAATCGATTTGTTCTCTCTATCGATGAAATTCGCGTTTACGGTTAACATTAATGAACATTATGCTTAAGAAAGTGACGTTTAAACCTAACATGACGAATCCTCGCGAAATAGCTCGAAAGGAAACCTCGTTGAAGAAAGAAGTGAAATACTTAGAAAGAATAATCTCTACGATATTAGAGAAAAGAAAGAAGGAAATAAAAAAAGTGCGTATATCAATAATTAAAACGCTCCATCGATTTCGCTCGATCCCCGATTTTTGACGGATGTCAAAATTATGTCATGATTCGAGCGAATCGCGGAGGAATACTATAATTTCAAGAAATTACAGCGTTACGGAGACTCGCGTCTTCTTGTTTCTTGGCCACGAGAATTATGCATTTTTTTCTTTTTTAAAAGAAAAAGATAAGAAAGATACGAAGTAATAATTCCAAAAAACTTCCGCATATTTTCCATAGCATCGTTGTAATTATATATCTATCTATCTTGTGATCGTTATAAAACGAAGATAAAAAAACGGCAAGAAACAAAATGGGACGCGAATCTTTGCGAATCTTGAAACAATCGCAAGCAAAATTGAAAATGTGTTCTTTCGATGTCGATCAAATTAATTCTAACTTGTCTCTAATTAATCTCCTTAAACGCGATTAACGCATCTCGATCACAGAAAGATCTTCACAGTTCACATCAACAGTTTGATATTTTGATTTGAAAAATTCCAATTACGATTTTTTTTTCTTTCTTCCTTTCTTTTTTTTTTTTTTTTTTTTTTTTTCCTTAGACTGTGTGTCTAAGAAAATGTCTAGCGTGCGCACCGCTCACCTCGGATAAAAATCACGTTCGTGGAATTTCCGCGTGCAAATTGCATTCGTCTCTCTTTCTAGAATCGTATGATTTTCTATCAAGATTGAAGAACAATGATTTAAAACCTTTTTTTTTTTCGCAATTTTTCTCACGACTTTTTCGCAAATAGACGGGATTCACCGCGAGAGACAATCGATCGGAAACTGAATATACATGGTGCGATTGTTTCATGATCGATGCAATGGAACTCAAATATACATATACTATACACATATCTAATACGGCGTTCTATTAAATATTATCATACTTGGGATGCGGAGGATCGCTTGTAATCTTACGTAAAAAGGAAACGATACGTACGTACGTTGAACGGCTAAAGTTTGTCAGGAAATAAATACGTTAAGCAAGTTTTGTTGGGCGTACGTGGTGAGAAACGGGACAGACGATAAAATCATCGAGTATCGTTCGATAGTTGTTACATCTCATTTGACAAAGAGAACGGTGTTTGAAACTTAACTCGATCCCTCAACGACATCCCTCGTGTCCGATTTATACTTATTGCTTGAGACCAGACTATATAATAGATTCAAACTAGATACTCGCCCAATTCTGTCGCGTTCCTCTCGTTTGCTTTTAAAACAAACGATAACAATCGTGTTACATCGAACGCACCTCTTACGTCTTATCACGTACATATACTCGTATACGTAAAAATTCGCGAACGATGTCGATTCAACTCGTCTCTAACGATAAAAAAGAAATATGCGTAGTGTCTAACTCGTCGCATAATCGCACAAGGTGAAGAGGATCCATCTGGAATCACGATCCATGGTCTTTGGCAGTAATAAAGACGCGTTTATGTATACGTAGAAATAGAAATAGGAAGAGGAAAAACGATTACGCGACCAAGAATAAAATCGTTCTCGCAAAATCTGAAATCGTAATACTGTTTTCAATGTTTGCTTATGTCGCCAAACTCGGATATCTCGGAATGATGGACTCCATTCAACTCGTTCTGGATCTGTTGCAAGCTCTTTCCCTTCGTCTCGGGTAATACCAGTATCGTGAATATTACGCTAATCACACAAAACACGGCGAACAACCAGAAGAGGACGTAATTGCCAAACTTCTCTTGCAAGTCATTGGCGAATTTGGTGATGAAGAAGGAGACCAACCAGCATATGGACACCGTGATCCCGGAAGCCTTCGATTTCACGTTCGATGCGAACATCTCGCCCATCACGGTCCATGGAAGAGGACCCCAGCCTACACAATATGTCGCGATAAAAATGACCAACGACACGATAGGCAAAAACCTTATACTGTCCACGTTTGATCCATTGGAATCCAGGTAAAGGTAGATACCCAATGCGGCCTAAAAATAAAAGAGAAAGAATCGTAGAAATTAGAATCGTAGTTTCTAATTTATTAAATAAATAGATAGAAGTGGAATTATTCGTTAAAAATAACGCTTGATAATTGCGTTGGTTTTATCCACATGATTAATAACTTGCCACGAGTTTCTGCAAGTTTATATATCGTTATACGGCAATTAACGAGACACGCGTCTGCGAGGAGCGAAAGGAAAAATATAATCGCGATTGAACGACGCTATCGATCGATCGATGAATTACAAAATTAACGCTATCGGTAATTAACCGCATTCCAAGCATTCTTGGACACGACTCGTCATCGTCGCTCCCGATCCACTTCTTTTCCTTATTGTTTTTTCCGCCTTCGTTGCCTCCTCGCCGCATCGCCTCGTCGTTATGAAATTTAGATAACAGCGTCGCAACTCGCGAATCAACGATCGATCCTTCGTAAATGCGATGAGACATTGACATTGACTGCGACCGCATGATCGATGCAACAATCTATGGCTATGGACAATTAATCGGCCTCATAATTCCAGACTCGTGAAGTCATCCGACGATTTCCACGTCGATGTGTCTTTTCCTGTTTACTGAAATTTTCTTATAGACACGGTTCGCGGAGATTACTTTAAGCGAAGAACGAAGAATTGGGAAGAATAATTTAGTTGACAGTTTTATTTCGTTGAAATAGGCGGCAATAATTAAATAGTTAATCGAGCTGCCTACAGTAATAGAGAAGTAATAGAAATCCTGTCTCGTAAATAATTTACTCGAGATTTCAAAAAATTAAGAATCATGGATAATTCATAAGAGAATACGAACAAGAATTTGCATTTCTAAATAATTCTTCTGGTAAAAAAACGTTTTTGCAAAAACTTAAAGAACAAAATTTGAGAAACTTTTT